AGGCTGGTACAATAGACAGGCACATAGACCAATGGAACAAAATTGAAAACCTACAAGTAAACATATCCAGCTGTGGATAGCTGATCTTCATCAAAGGCTCTATTCAACGGGAAGAGATAATCTCCAACAGTGGTGCTGGCAAAACTGGATCTCCATTTGCAGGAAAATGAAACAGAATCCATACCTCACACCACACACAGAAAGTTAACTCTAACCAAACTATATAAAATTCCTGTAACATAGGGAAAAAGGTATAATTTATGGCATGAATGCACTATCAAACATAACTACAAAAGCACAAACAAGAGAAGATAAACTAGATACTTTACTGAAAGAGTAAAAAAAGAACTTATAGATGGGGGAAAGGTTGGCAATAACATTCTCTGACAAAGATCTAAACTCTAAAATCCAGAGAAAACTTCAATACCTCAACAACAAAAGATAATCTAATTTTAAAAATGGGCAAAAGACATAAACAGACATTTCACCAAAGAAGTTACTCAGGTGGCTAACAATTATGAGGTGTCCTGGTGTGGCGCTGCAGAATAATGCACTGGACCACAAGGGTGGTTTGAACCACAAGGTCGGCGGTTCAAAGTCACCAGCTGCTCCTAGGAAACCCTATACAGGGTCGCTGTGAGTCGGAATTCACTCAAAGGCACTTAATAATACCAAGCAATATGACGTGATACTCAGATCATTAGCTATTGTTGTTAGGTACCTTCAAGTGGGTTCCTACTCATAGCAACCCTGTGTACAACAGAATGAAACACGCCCATCTATACTTTCCTCACAATGATTATGTTTGAACCCATTATTGTAGCAGCTGTGTAAATCTATGCCCTTGGGGCTCTTGCTCTTTTTCACGGAGCCTCTACTTTACCAAGCATGATGTTCTTCTCCAGGGACTTTTCCCTTCTGACAACATGTCCAAAGTACGAGAGACGAAGTCTTGCCCTCCTTATCTCTAAGGAACATTCTGGCTGTACTTCCTCCAAGACAGATTTGTTCATTCTTCTGGCAGTCCATGGTGGCTGTGTGCCGTGGAGTCGGTTCCGACCCATAGCGACCCTGTACAGGGTTTCCGAGGCTGTAAATCTTTACGGGAGCAGAACGCCTTATCTTTCTCCCACAGAGCAGCTGGTAGTTTTGAACTGCTGACCTTGTGGTTCGCAGCCCGATTCGTAACCACTATGCTACCAGAGCACCTTCTTCTGGAAGCCCATAGTACTTAAAATATTCTTCACTGTCACCATAACTCAAATGCATTCATTTATTTAAGGTCTTCCTTATTCATTGGTCAACTTCCATGCATCTGAGGTGATTGTAAATATCAGGTGCCTCTTAGTCCTCAGAGTGACACCTTGGCTCTTTAACACTTTCAAGAAGTCTTTTGCAGCTTAATTTGCCCAATGCAACAGGTCATTTGATTAGATGGTGGTGGTAGTGAGTTGTGGAGTTGATTCTGACTCATAATGACCCTGTACAGGGTTTCTGAGGCTATAAATCTTTATGGGTGCACAAAGACTCATCTTTCTCCTGAGAAGCAGCTGGTGGATTTGAACTGCTGACCCTGTAGTTAATAACTCAACATGTATTCCACAATGCTACCAAGGCTTCTTTGATTAGCCATTTGGTTGTTTTTGTTGTTAAGTGCTGAGGAGTCAGTTCTGACTCATAGCAACCCTGCCTGTATAGGGTCTTTCAGAGGAGTGGCTGGTGGATTGAGTTTCCAACTTTGTGGTTAGTGGTCCTGTGCTTATCCTACAGCACCACACCAGTAGACAAGTGTTGAATTTGGTGAAGAGAAAGGTAATACACAATTAGGGGGGAAATCTGCATGATTGTAACCAAGGTAAATGAAAACACAGAGGAATACAAAAATAAAGGATAACAGGAAGGGATAGGAAAGAAAGATGAATAGAAATGGTAAGCATAGGGTATCACCTAAAACACAACAACAACAAAAACCAAGCCCACTGCCACTGAGTTGATTCTGACTCTTAGTGACCCTATGAGTTTCTAAGACTATAAATCTTTACTGGAACAGATAACCTCATCTTTCTCCTGAGGAGTCACTGATGAGTTTGAACCATTGTAGCCCAATGCCTAACCCACAGCTAAATAGTACTATAACTATTGCAAAGAAATGCAATCCTTAATTAGAAACCTTCCCACAAATAAACCTCCAGGCACAGATAATGCCCCCCCAAAAAATATGAGTAGAAAATGAATATAATCCAATTTATGTAAATATATCACTTTATATATAAGTGCCCACTCAACAGCAATTAACAATATGTACATACATAATTACATTACATATAGTGCAATGTATTTATATAGTTATTTAGATTTATGTATGTATGAAAACACACAAAAATGCAAGGCTGCACATCAAATTGGTTACCAGGAAAGTTAATGGAGTTGAGAAAGGAGATTTGGGGATTGCCCCTTGCAGAGCTGTGAATTACTTAGTAAAAGTAAGCTTCCCTTCTAGTCAAAGTATGTGAAACTCTGAAATGATTGGGTAGGGCTATGCAAATGTGATGTGCTTGTGGCCCACCAAGAGGATTGGATAACTGCTAATAATGTAAATAAGGCACATAGCACTGTGTTGGGGGAGGTTGTTGTTAAGTGCCTTGGAGTTGGTGCTGACTCATAGGGACCCTGTAAATGGTTTTCCAGGCTGTAAATCTTTGTGGGAGAAGAAAGCCTTCTCTTTCTCTCCCTGAGTGACTGGTGGCCTCAAACTGCTGACCTTGTGGTTCAAAATTTAGTGCGTATCCTGCAGAGGCACTGTACTCCTGTTTTGGGGTTGGTATGTTGTTGTTGTTAAGTGCCATCTAGTCGGTTCCGACCCATAGCGACCCTGTACAGGGTTTCCGAGGGTGTAAATCCTTACGGGAGTAGAAAGCCTCATCTTTCTCCCGCGGAGCAGCTGGTAGTTTCGAACCACTGACCTTAAGGTTCGCAGCCCGATTCGTAACCACTACGCTACCAGAGCTCCTGTTTTGGAGGTGGTATGGAACCATGCAAAATGTGTGGAACCCTAACCAGGGGATTTGTCATTCTGCTAGGTTTAAAATAAGCTGTTTCAGAGGCAGAAATGGAGACCTCAGTGCCATCAAGAAAGAAGAACCAGGAGTGGAGCACATTCTTAGGCCCTGAGGATCCTTGATCCAGAGCTGTTACACCAGAGACAGCAAGAAATTGCGAGAAGCGGTATCTACAGAATCAGGTGGCTGACATGAGACAGCAGGCTTGCAGGCAGAGTAAGGTGGCTCTGGGAACTTACTGGTGGAGCCTAGAGTCAATGATTCATGGAATGGGTAGTTAAAAAAAGAGGTTTTTAACAGTTGCCTGAGCAAGGTAGGTACCAGACTAAGAGGCTAAGGGTTGGAGGGTTGTCTGTAAACACAGCTAAGAGGAGGTTGTTCTGATAAAAAACAATTGTATCCTGAGTGTTCCTGAACCTAAATAGAACCTGTTACTTCCATCATGGAGTCCTGGTGTGGCACTGTATCATAATCATTGGATGACTAACTACAAGGTCGGCGGTTCAAACCCACCAGCTACTCCTTAGAAATCCTATACAGGGTTGCTATGAGTTGGAACCAACTTGACTTGACGGCACTTAACTACTTTCATCATAAACCCCTAACTGTGACTGTGATCTGAGTTTTGTGTAATCATTGCAATGTATTAATCCAATTCAGCGGAGGAGTAAAATGCCCTGGGAAGGACAGCTGGTGTCAGAATTGGTAAAAACAAAAAACAAAAAAAACGTTGGAGGGTGAAAAGGTCTGAGCTCCTCCTCATTCGATTTGGCCTTGGGCAGCTGATGCAAATACTTTTTCCCCCTGGTGAAGTTAGAGGTCAGATGCTACCCCATCATTTTATATTCCTTTACCTGCATTGTTCCAATTTTTATGAAACCATTATGTATGGAAAAAATGGAACTCAATCAAAAATCAGATTCATTGGTGTAAAATAGTTTATGGTTGGAAGATGCTGTTGAGACCTGCCCTGGGATCTGTTATCTGGTTCAGGACATTACGGATTCTAAAGCACGCAGTCATTGCTTGCTGTTAATAAATGCTAGTCCCAAATAAAGCCATTTTCCCCAGAGAACAAGATCCACCACACATGGTACACTGTGCATTTATTTACAAAGAGGGTCGAGAAACACAAAGAATCTGGCCCCCTGTGCACTGGGGAATCACCTTCGTCATAATAAATACAGTCATTTAAAAAAAACAAACAAAACAAAACAACTAGATTGGAACAGTTGAGGGTCGTTCTGGGCTCCCCCCACTCCCTGTCATGAGAGGGCGGAACAAGATAGATGCCATCCTCTTTCCTCTTTAACATCTCCCAATCCCTCAGAATTGTCCAGGGATAAAGGTAAGAGTCCTTTTGGTCCAGATGTTGCCAACTCCTACTTGACCCTCAAAACCCCCAAAGTCAGCGCTCCTTCCCTTCCCAGGCACTGTGCAGGCACCAGCTGGGTCAGACACAGACTCTCTGACCTGGAGGCTCAGGGACATGGAGGGGGGGCACTTTGTGAATGAAAGGGAACCATAGAAAGGAGGTTTTGAAAAGGAGGAATGAGGGGACTCAGCAAGAGAAGTAGAAGGCAGCAACTGTCTAAGTGTCTAAACTAAAATAGGGAAATTGTAACTCCATTATTCCTTCTGCATACACAGGCACCCAATATACAGATGAGCAAGGTGAGGCCCAGAGAAGGGGAACTTTCTTGCCCAAGGACTCCAGAGCCAGAATTTGAACTGGTCAAACAAGGCTCCTCCCCATTCCTCCCTCGGAATGTGTATGTGTGTGTTGGGGGGTAGCCTTTTTAATCACTATGACTGCAGTTAAGTGAGAGGGTGGTGGTCTTTGGAAAGAGAGAATATATCCTGGTCTTTGGAAGGGTGGTGGTGTGGAAGGGCTAGTGAGTGTGGAGACTATGAAGGGAGAGCCCAACCAAACTCCTAAACTCACACTGTAGTCATGACCTTGAGAGATCCCGAACGAAAACGCAGGATCTTTTTCTTGAGCGCGTGAGAAGCCTTGATCTTTACAAAGACCTTGGCAGGGCCTGCAGGCGCCCCTCCACCTGCACTACCCCCTGGCGCGGAGGCCGCGGTGGCAGCCACGAGCTGCTGTGGCCATACGAGGCCACCGCTGCCGTCAGAGTCGCTGGAAGCGGAGCTGAAGGCAGGTGACTCGCCCTCGCTGGCGCTAGATTCACTTTCCCCGTAGCCCCCACCACCGGGTCCCCGACGTCCAAGGGGCCCCAGACGCCCAGCCGAGCATTCGGAGTCGCTGCCCGCGCAACCATACAGCAGACGGCGTTGAGGAGCCGACGGGGATGGGCCGGGCCCTGGGCCGCGGGTCGTGGGAGCTCGGGGACGTCCGCGGCGACCTTCGGCAGCATCGATTTCGGCCGTGGAGCGCCAGCGGCGACAGGCCCCAGCGGCCTGGGCAGCCAGCGTTGGCGCGGGGCCGCGGCGGGGCCGAGGCGGCCGCGGCTCTTCGCGTTCAGCCGTGGGGTACTTGGGAGGGCCGGGAGGGACCGCGGCGGCGCGACCCAGCAGGCTGGTCTCGGACTGAGAGCGCGCAGTCTTGCGCGCCCTGGGCGAGCCCCGGCGACCCGAGGCTTCAGTCATGCGTCCGCGGCGCCCGGCGGCACGAGGACGCTCCCGGGGCGGGGATTGCTCCACACTGCGGCCGCGGGTCAGTGGGGGCGCTTTGCGGCGAGCCGCGCGACCGGGGAGACCTCGGGTGGCGGCCTGAGCGCCCGGGATGTATTGCGCCTTTACCAGCCGCCCCTCGGCCGGGCTGTCGGGGGGTGAGGAGGCGGCGGGCAGCGCCGCGGGCTCGGCCGCCGCCTCCGACTCCCACTGCGAGCCCCAGGCGCGTCTCAGGGCGGCCGGGCTGGTGGTCCGGCCCCCGGCACGCTCCACGGCCGGCTCAGGCGCGGGCCGCACGCCCCCGGGGGGCGAGGACGCGTCAGGTGGCCGCTGGCGCACGCTATTCTGGCGCCGCGGGCCACCTTCCGCGCCCCCAGGGCTTGTCCGGGGCTGACCTGCCCCCCGGCGGCGGCGCCTGCGCAAGAGCGCCGAGATGTAGCCGTCCAGGGGCCGGCGCGCGCCTGCCGCCGGATCGGACGAGTCGGCCGGAGGCCGGGGACAAGGGCGCGGGCTGCGCAGTGCTACGGCATGCAGGGGGCTGGGCGTCAGGAAAGGCCCCGCGCGCGGCCGCCGCTCCGCCGACGAGCAGGCTTCCGCGCCCGCAGAGCCCGCAGCCGTTGGGTAGGGCGCAGAGAAGGAGCGCGGCACTGCGGCCCGAGTGCCCACAGCCTCGTGAGCACTGGGACTGGCGTCTCCTAGGAGAGGGAGGCAAGAAAGGAAGGGAGTGGAGGGACTCTCAAAGCCTTCACTCCAAGCCTGGAGGTCAGGCTGCCTCCCTCCACCTCCATTCCTATTAAAAGCCTTGCTCACATCCCTTCCCCCATGTCGTGTTCCTAACAAAATCTTTACAGTAGCTTGCAAGCCCCTGCATGATCTGTTTCTCCTACCCACCCCCGTCCGTCTCCTGTCTCCTCTGTTTGTAGGATTCCAGATTCCAGCCAGGCCGGCCTCTTGTATAGGAGGGGGCTTTTCAAAGTTCGTAGGAAAAACCAGTATCTTTTAAATTCTATTTTTCCACGAATTTTTAAAAGTCCTTTTTACACACCTGCCAGTTGCATTTGGGCCTCAGGGCCTTTGCACTTCCTATTCCAGCTACCTGGAACACTGGCTCACTATTCACTATCTCATTGAGGATTCCTCTGGTCCTATCTTTTTTTTAACGTAGCAGTGCACAAAGGGACACACTCTCAACCCCTTTACTTGGTTTCTTTTCCCAGTACATGTCAATATCTAATGTCCCAGGCTACATCTCCTTGTATAGTAACTACCGTTCCCACTAGAACGTCAGCTTTATAACCCATTGCTGGTCAAGTCAATTCCGACTCGACTCATAAGAACCCATAGGGTTGAGTAGGACTGCCCCATGAGGGTTTGTGAGGGTATAAATGTAGGAAACATCATCTTTCTCCTATGGAGTAGCTTTGAGCTTTTGAGTTAGCAGCCCAATATTTAATTAATCCTCTAGGCCACCAGGGCTCCCTCAACTTTATAAGAGCAAGGGTTTGTGTATTGTTCGGCTGTATCAAAACACAAACAAGGGAGAGTGTTTCTTTTGTGACATCCAGTGGATTCCAGTTCATAACACCCCTATCAGGCGGCTTCAAAAAGTTCATAGAAAAATTTCATTGCATTGCATTTTTCTAAGGAGTTTTTGAAGCCCCCTGGTATAGGACAGAGAACTGCCCCATTAAAGCTTCCTGTGTGTAATAAAACCAAACCAAACCTGATGCTGTGGAGTTGATTTTGACTCAGCAACCCCATGTGTTAGAGTGGAAAACTGTCAGTCCTTTCTCCACAGCACTGCTGGGTGGCTTACAAATATCACCCTTTAGTTCAGTAGTTGAGTTTGAATCATCTGCATCGCCCAGAGACCTTAGCACATAACTTACTTGTTTAAAGGAGTAAGAGCAGTTTTTGTTTGCTTGGTAGTTACCATATGCCAAGTCCTGTCTGTGCCTAGGAACAGTGGCACACTGACAGGTCAGAACATCTCTATAAGGTAAGTGTTGTTAGGATCCCATTCTAACAGATGAAGAATATGGAGGCCCAGAAAGAGGAGACATGCTGAAAATCACACACAGAGAGATCTCAGATAAATCTGAATCTAGATCTTTCTGATTCTGAAGATTGTGCTCCAAACCAGCTGCCTTTACTGCCCATTCCCAGGCCCTCAGGGGCCTACCCCCATCTACCTTACCTAGGGACTTGGGTCGCTCACTGGCATAGATGCCTCGGGGTTCAGAGGGACCCAGGCGTCCATAGGAGCCAGAGCCAGAAAAGCCACTGTCCCCACAAAAGGTTGAAGGTGGTGAGTCTGGAGCTCCTGTGGAACTGGGGTCTTCATAAAAACCTGGATTCCAGGGAGAAGGGGAGAGAAAATCAGGGTGCCTGGATGGGAATATGGGGAGAATAAGGGAAGAGAAGGGAGACCAAGGCAGAAAGAGGAAACAGGGGTAAAGGATGAGGGGCAGGGGTGAGGGATACAAAGGTGGGGAGAGAGACTATCAAGAGACAAAGAGGGAAGACAAGGATGGCAAAAGAAAGACTGGAAGAGACTAGGGAACCAACAGATTGCTGGGGGGAAATTAAGGGACATGGAGAAGGGGAACCTAGAGGTATAGGTGAGTGGAGCCTGAGAGATGGAGGACAGTGGGAGAGATTAGGGTGTTTCAGCCAGGTCCTCCCCTCCACCTGTGCTCACCCGAGCTGCGACCGCTCTCTTGCTCCAGGCCGCCAGATTCCAGGCTTAGGTCTCCCAGCTGCTGACCCAGGTCCCAGATGAGTCCAGGCAGTGCCTCCTAGGGGTATGGGGAAAGCAGGATGATCAGAAAAGCCCCAATCCTCTGTCCACTGGTCCCACTATCCCATAACATCTCTCAGTATCTGTCCCTTCAGCCCCCTTAGAAAGTCCTTCTGGCAGTCTAACTGTAGTCATTCATACTGTAGTCCCACCTCAGTGCCTATTGGTGGTTCTGTGTCACTACAATAGGAGTTAGTTCTGACTCATAGCAACCCTGTGTATGGTTCCCCAGGCTATAAACTGTTAAGGGGGCAGAAAGCCTTCTCTTTCTTCCTTGGAGCTGCTGGTAGATTTGAACTGCTGACCTTGCAGTTGGTAGCCCAGCACATAATCCACTATGCTATCAGGACCCTTTTAGGTATATACCTTGTCCCTTGGGCAATTCATATCAGTTGTTTCCCCCATCTATTGTCACATAAGGTTGCTATGAGTCAGTACTGACTAACAGTATTAGCAACAACATTCTCACAGGCCCTTAACCCCTATTTTTATGACTTTCTTTGAGTTTGACTTCAGATCTTGCTGTAAGGGCAGTTCCTGGTTAAAACATGCCCAGGACCCTTAGCCATGGGTGTGACTGTACTTTTCAGATGCTTGCATCTCCCCACACTGCTAAGTGGGAAAGATGAAAAGTAATACCATTAGAAAATCCTTTTGCTAGGCCTTCCTGCTGCAGACTAAATGTTTCCCTCATATAGATAAAACAGAATTAACTACAAATCATAGACTTCTTTGAGCCACCCCCATAACTTCCCTACTGGGAAGTCCTTGTGTAAGTCTAGCCTTAATGTTATTGCTGCAAATAATTCTTTTTTGGGGAAGGAGCAAGGAGTGTTTTTGTGCCAAACCCCAATAGTTCGCTTTATCCCAGGGATCACATTCTCCTTTAGCCCTTGTTCCATTCAAACTCAGAAACCCCCAGTGTCTGCCCACTGTGCCTCACTCAGCCTGATGAAAAATGTCTACAAGTCTACCCTGGATTCTTTTTGCTGTAGGAAAAGATCATTTTGATCAGATGTGAATAAATGGGGGTGAAAACCATTTGAGGGGATTGGCAGTTACCGAGGGTGGTAGTGGGGACTGAAACAACACAGACACTAAGACTTAACCCCTTTTTGAAATCTTGAGGCCCGGCGCCAAGAAGAGTTTCCCTTGAGTCAGGGCGAGGAGGCCAGTGGTGGCCACAGCCTCAGGCTGACGGTTGACCCTCAGACAAAAGCGACTTGTCTAGGCAGCCCAAGGGAGGGAGGGAAGGAGGAAGGGAAGGAGGAGGAGTTTGGAGGGCAGGCGCCCAGTCTTTCCTATTTAGGGCAGAAAGACGGGCAGGCTCCCCCGAAGCCCCGCCCCAGCTCTCCTGGGGCTCTTCTGACGCACCCCTGCCCAGAACAGAAGCCCCTTCTGGGCCTGTTTTTGCAAGGAAGGTCAACAAAGCATTCCACTTTGGGCTCCTACCCTGGAGTGCAAAGATGCCCTAGTGGAATCATCTTTGCACAGAACCCAGGAAAGTAGAGGGGCTGTGTAGCATCAAAATCATCAAATCCACTGCCATCGAGTCATTCCAGCCTCATAGCGACCCTATATAGGGTGTCCGAGACTGTAAATCTGTACACTATACCCCATGTCATGTCCTCTCACAAACTGCCCCCTTGCTCGCTCTGCATTAGCCACACTAGCCTGTTTCTTGCACAAGCTATGCACACTCCTTTGCACTACTTGCTCTCTCTGTATGGTCAGTCTCCCCCATGTGTCCTACTGGCTGACTCTACGACTTATTTCTGGTTTCTGCTTACCTGGAACTTTTTCTGACCAAACAAAAATCCAAATCTGTTGCTTTGGAGTCACTTTGAACTCATGGTGACCGCATGTGTTACAGAGAACTGTTTTAAACAGCACAGGAGAAAGACAAGATGGTAAAGATCATAGCCAAGAAGCCCCGATTCTGTCCCCAGAGTCCTATGAATCGAAATGGACTCAACAGTACCCTAACAAGCAACTGTAACGGAAATGGATCACCAAGTCCTTCTGCAACACCACCGGGTGAGTTCAAAATGCCAAGCCTTTAAATTAATAATGGAGTGTAAACCTTTTGTGCCACCTAGATACCTCCTCTGAGCTCCCTGGTTTTTTCCTATATAGCAGTAAGGACTTCATGATTTATAATTATATACAATTTTTTTGTTATTAAAAAAAAATTTCTCTCTTGCTAGAATATTCACTCCAAGAGAGTAGGGGCTTTTGTTTATTTTGTTGACTATCTGTCAAGTGCTCCCAGCAGTGCCTGGTACAAAGTAGCTGATGGGTAAATATCTTAGAAATTCATGTCTACCATGAAATACTATGTAGCTGTTAAAAGGGAGTGAATTTCAACATGGGAATCATCAGCAAGATCCAGTGTTGGGTAGCAAAATAAAAGGGACCTTCAAAAAGTGGGAAAATGCAATGAAAAGAAACTGGAATTTTTCCATGAACTGTTTGAAGCCTCCTCAAATGTGATAGTATGTTTGTGAAACTCACCCAGAGGTTTGTTAAAACCCAGATTGCTGGGACTGATTTCCAGTTAGTTTCTGAATAGAGTAAGGAGAGGGGGCCCAGGAATTTGCATTTTGAACAAATTCGCACAGGATCTGATGCAGTTGGTCCAGGGAGTACATCTTGAGAGCCATTGGCATAGTTTCTGGGAGAAGAAACTGGAATTTGTTTTAAAAAACAAAAAGCAAAACTCTGTATGTCTTGATATGTAAACTGTTTTTATAAGTCAAGGCACTTGGAGAAATCTGGAAGAACTCATAGTAAAATTACATGGGTTTTGACCCTCAACTGAAAAGATGGATTAAGGGAATCAAAAGAGGGAAGAGGAGAGTGAAGTGTTTAAGCGAAATTGTTGTTGTGTGCCAGTGAATCCATTTCAATTCATAGCAACCTCATGTGACTTAGTAGAACTGCCCCATAAAGTTTCCTGGGTTGTAACCTTTACAGAAACAGACAGCCAGGTCTTTTCTTCTTCAGAGCCATAAAATGGGTTCAAACTGCCAGCCATTAAGCTAGCAGCTGAGTGCTTTCATCTGCTAGGCTCCAAATCCCAGCTCTGTGACTTTGGCAGGTTACTTCACCTCTCTGGGCCTCAGTTTCCTCATTTACAATATGGGCATCATTCTCTTGGGGAGTTCTTGTGCAGAATTAATATTTTTAAATGGTTCCTTTAAAGCACTTAATAAATGCTAACTTTTCTTAATACATAAAAGCTATGAATTTCTTACACGAAAAATAATAAGATTGTGTTTTCACTTATGTAATTAAAAACAAATAGTGACAATGATTTTTTGTGTGTGAAGTCTGCAGGGAAGAGCAGGAATTAGGGGACAGGAGAGGACTCCTCCTTTTCCCAGCCAAGACCCATTCCCTCCCAGTCACTTCAGTCTGTTTCCATCACCCCTCACCCAATTACAAGTCCTTCCAGCTGCAAAGACTTCACTCCTTCCAGCTTCAAAGGGACAAATCTTTAATATAAAATCATATAAATCCTTGTCCTGAATCTAGGCTTCTACCTGCTCACATACCTACCCCTGTCCTATTTTTGCAAGTTCTTTGTACCTGGCCTCCCCACAGGAGAAAGATGAAGCTTTCTGCTTACTGAAGATTTACAGCCTCAGAGGCCTATACAGGGTGGCTATGAGTTGGAACCGACTCCATGGCACACAACCACCACCACCACTTGTATGTGGCCTCAGGTCATTCTGCTGGGGGTGGTGGGGGAGAGGCAGATGTAACAAGGATACGGTCAGGACACCTGGGGTCCGCAGTATCCAAAGTTCCCCACACTTTTGCTTCTCTCAGCTTACCTCTGTATTCAATGCCCTTGATCTGTTAGGAAGTCCTTCTGCAAGTCTAACTTAAGTCCTTCCTGCTGGAACCACCAACCTCGGCTCATCTCAGGTTTCCCCAATCAAGAAACTCTGGCCACACACAGGCTTTCCTTTGTGGGAGAGAACAGAACCCAGGGACTCCCAACTCCAGATACCACTAGTCTTTACCTGGCTTTCCCATCATTCCTGTTAGAAAGTAATCAAGACTAATTTGAGCTTTTCTTGCTGCAGAGTGTATTGGGTGGGGTCCAGCTTCTTAAGACAAGGGCTTAGGGATCAGAGGAGGCTCCTATCCCCTCCTCAGAAGGACTTAGGAACCCCCAACATCAGAGGAGCTTATATTTAGCGTTCTCTGCTCCTCCCTCGGAGCGTTGTCTCCCTCCGCCCTCCCGCCCGCCTCCTCCCTGATGCTAGGACTAAGCTTTGCCTGGAGACTGTGAGGGGGAGAGACCTCCCCTCTACCAACTCAAGTCAGCCGAGAAACCAAGGGGCAGAGAGAGGAGAAGCGAGAGTAAGGGGTGGAGGCTGAGGTGCGGAGGGAGGAAGGACGCGGTTGTCCGTCTCTCTGGCCCTTTCCCTCTCCTCGGGTGGGAGGCACCTTCCAGAGCCCAGGCAGTTTTGGTGGTGGGGGGGAGCTGGTGGGAGCCCCCACAATCCGTCTCCAACTTTAGGAGGGGGTGGGGCCTCCCACAGCTGTTTCTGTTTCCAGAGAAGAATGTGCAAGGTCCCGCTCCCGGCCGGGGGAGGGGCTGGGCGTGCAGTCCCAGAGTCTGGCTTCAACCCCCCTCTCTACTCCCCATCTGGGGAGGGGGCAGCCGAGGTCAGCCACAGAGAGAGCCCCCTCCCCACCCCCAACCTCGGCTCAGGTTTCCCTAAACGGGAAGCCACACACAGGCTTGTGGATGGGAGCAGCAAGTGGAGCCAGGGTCTGGGGCCTGGCATGCTGGGGGCGGTGGGGGTGGGGAGCAGCTGGGCGAGGGGCAGGGACAGATAGAGGCCGAGACTTGGGCAGGAAGAGAAAGAGGTGCAGCAATGCGGGCAGGGAAGACCAGGGAAACAGAGGGTTACGAAAGAGAGGCAGACACAAAGTCTTAGTGTTGGGACAAGGAGAGAGTCAGAGAACCCTGGAAGAGGTCAGGAGAATGAAGGAATGACACAGAGAGGGAGAGAGGGACGATGCCTCCTTAAGTCAGAAAGCTCTGCCCATCTTCCACCATTCAAGCGCCCAGGAGATCTAGAAGTCAGACTCCCTTGCTGCCTCACCAGGCTCCTTCTGGGATTACAGAGGGCTGGGATCAGATAGGAAAGGAGGGGAAGTGTCACCCGAGGGGCAAGATCCCGGGGGTCTTCAGGGACCCTGAGTTTCCTCTCAGCAGCGATCTCTCTGTCCGAAGGTCCCCTTCCCCCATCTTGCCCCCTCCAGAGATCTCCAAGCACACCGGGATTTAGGGAAAATGGAACCCTGGTAGCTGGACAGGGAGGGAGGTGGCATGTTGGATTACTGGCTGTGTAGGCTGCTGTGTGACCTTGGGTGAGTCGCTTGCCCTCTCTGAATCTTAGTTTCCTTCTCCGTAAAATGGGGACGATCACCCTGCAAGCTCCAAGGAGACCATGCATACAAAATATTTGGCGCCGGCTTGACACATACTTGGCGCTCAGAAGGGTTTTTCTTTGGCGGAGAGGCAGAGATGGAGCCTATGCATCTGACGAGGGCCCAAGCGGAGGCGAGATAATCTCCACCACCTTCCCGTCCCGGTTTGGAGGCGGGAGGCCAGATCCCGCCCGCCGCCCGAACTCCCCATACCTCCCCTCCCCCCTTTCCCCACCATACCCCACCCCGCGACCGGGACCCGGGTCCGAGCATCCAGACAGGGTGAGGGGCGGGGACGGACGGACAGGCGGTCCCTCACCAGCTGCTCCTCCAGGGCCGCAGCGGCCCGGCGCGCCGCCGCCGCATCTTCATCCTCCTCGGCGTCCTCCTCGTCCTCGTCCTCGGCGCCCCCCATCCCGGGCTGGGCCAACCGCAGAGCCTGCTGCACGCGATACTCCTGCCTCTCCCGAAGCCAATGCAACTCGCAGAGCCCGGCCAGGCTGCCCTCCAGCCAGCCCCGCAGCCGGCCCCGCTCGGGGCTCACCGGGAACGAGAAGGCCCCGATCATGGCTGCGGCCCCCCGCCCCAGCCTGGCCGGGCCCCGCGGCCACCCTTCTCCCGGTCCCACCTCCCCGCCCTAGCAGCCCGCCTGCCCGTTCGCCCGCCCGCTGGCCCGGCTGTCACCATCTCATCTGCATAGGCGCCCGCCCATTGGGCCGCCCACCCGCGCTTCATCTGCATGACCACGCCCACATCGACCCAGCAACCGCGGCCTATTGGCCGATCCCCACCCTTGCGAAGACGCTTGGCCGTGCGGCCGCGCCCCCCAACACGACGCATGCTCTTAGCTGCCTACTCGTCTGCTTCTTCGATGTTCCGCCACACACCGCCCCTCCGCGCGCCTACGTTTGGGCCCTGGCCACACCCCCTACGCATCACAATAAAATATATTCTCCCTTGCTACACTGCCATTGGCCCATGCCTCCCCATCTCTGCGGCTGGTTCCGCCCCCTTGCGAGAGAGCTTGGGCTACCATTGGACGGTCCAGAAGGAGGGGGTAGTCTATAAATAAAGAATGGATCCACGTGACAGTTTGGCTGTTGTTTCTCCCTCCTCTCTAGTCCTGCGTATCTGAGGCTGCGCAAGAGGAGGAAAAAAGGGCTGGGGGGCCAGGGGGCGTCGAGCCCTTATTTCACCTCTTCTTCCAGGAAGCCTTCCCAGACATTCAGCTGTAGGGGAGGCCAAGGCCAGCTAAAGACCGACATCTTTCTATAATAATGATGTTTATAGGCAGGGCCTTCCTAATTGTTGTGCAACCCGTGTCCCGCGCTTAGAAGACCCCATGCATGCTTGGTTTGAAGCTCTGCTATTGCCGTCTTGAAATTCTTGGGGTTTTTTTGTTTTGTTTTGTTTTTTAACAGTGGGCCCAGGACTCTATAACTTATGCAGCTGGTCTTGCTTCTAAGTGTGTATCCCAGATTCAGAATTAATAAGACCCCGAGTGAAAGCTTTTAAGATCCAACCAGAACAGAATCTAAAGCGTCTTTTGTCCCCCAAGTGCTGTGATGCTTTGTTCTGCGATTCCAGGGGCCTTTGTTCTACGTTCTGAGACGCTTTGTTCCGCAGCCTTCTAAGATGTGTCCTGGACATTCTTTGGTCCAGTCTCAGTCTGACAGCCATTCCCAAGTTCCCTCTCCTTTCCCCGGGTTCCCCAAGGGGGTTAGTACCCCCCCAGGCGGCCAGCCTGTGTCACTTCACCGAGTATGCCTCCCTAAATCTTCCAGGAGACTTAGTTCCGCTATTCCTACCCATTTTTTCAGACAGATCTTGACTCCCTAACAGTCAGGAATCTAGATCATGTGAGAACGTCCCTCTTTTATGATGCCCCCTACACTGGGCACCTTATGGTGATAAACAGGAGAAGTTATCAGATGGCCTGGGGGGTGAAGCCTGCTACTTACAGGCTGTGTTGGGAAAGTGGTTTAGCCTGTGTTTTCTCAACTGTATAATGGGAAGTCATAATACATACAGTTATTATGATTAAATAATAAGTTTGTCAAGGCATGGAGCAGTGCTTGCCACATATAAAGAGCTACAAAAGGCTTTGATAAGTAAAAAGTAAACTAAAACTCCAAAATTCCCTGTCATCCAGTCAATTCTGACTCATAGTGACCCTATATAGGGTTTTCAAGACTGCAGATCTTTACAGGAACAGCTTCATATTTATCCTGATCAGCTGCTGGTGGGTTTGAACTTCTGACTTTGCAGTTAGCAACTCAACTCACCAGGGCTCTGAAAAAGTAATCTATTGAATGCCAAAAAGGAGGACAAATTTGGACATTAGTAGAAAAAAATTTTATTCATTCCCCCCCGCCACTTTGTTCTAGACAAATCTAATCTGTCCTTGAACAACTTTGCCCAACAACTCTGTCCAATTAAGGGGCTACTGGTAGAAATCTGGAGAACTCTAGATAAGGTTTTTAAGTAGTCAGTGTCTGGAATGAGAATGGGATTGTTTTGGGTTTTTTACCCTTTGAGTTTATGTAAAACCAGTTGCAACATGTTGAATCTGGTAGTGACTTTGGGTTGTGGCCACCAGGCAGCTGAGAAGGGAAGAAGAGAATTATTAATTTGAAGATACTATATTACCAATTACCATCAAGTCGACCATGACTCATGGTGACCCTATTATGTGCCAGAGTCGAAAAATGCTCCTTAGAATTTTCAATGGCTGATTTTTAGAAGTACATCAACACGCTTTTCTTTCAAGGTATTTCTGAATAGACTTGAACACCCAACCTTTCAGTTAGCAGCCAACATGGTAACCAGTTGCCCCCAGAGACTCCTTTGATTCAGATTGGACTTAAAGGCAAGATAAGGGGGAGGTAGGAGGGACAGAGTTAGAGAAGATAAGAGGATGGAGGTTGGAGTGATGAACTTTAAAGATGGGGAAAAGGGTAATGGGCCAAGGAATGCAGGTAGATTAGACCCATCAGTTGTAAAGGGAAAGATGTTCCAGATGGAGCCCACGGGATAGTCCCTCAGAATGTTTACTGACGTATGCCTCAGAGGTGTCCTAGGCTCCCTTTGAAGACCATTTGTTGTTCTGACTCACAGCAATTCTATGTTGTTAGTGCCCTTGAGTCGATTCTGACCCATAGGGATTCTGTATAGGGTTTCTAAGGAGCAGCTGCTGAGCTTGAACCACTGACTGCGGTCCAAACGACTTTGCAGTCAGACTGATGCATTAGCCTACAGCACCACACCAGGACTCCAGCAATTCTATAGGACAGAGTGAAACTACCCCACTGGGTTTCCAAGGCTGTCCTCTTTACAGATCCTGTCTTGCATAGGGTGGCTGTAAGTCTGAACCAACTTTGTGACACCTAACAACTACGGAGTCCTGGTGTGGCGCTGTGGGCTAATGCATCAGACTGCAAAGTTGTTCAAACTGCAAGGTCAGTGGTTCAAGCTCATCAGCTGTTCCTTGGAAACCCTATATAGGATCGCTATGGGTCGGAATCGACTCGAGAGCACTTAACTACTGTATAGTATTAGCTTGTTACTAAATTCAGTTTCTGTGGAGCTCAGGAAGGTGTTTCACTAAGGTGTATAAGTGTGACCTAGGCTTACAGGGAACTTGTTGGGGCGCATGCTTCCATCATTCATTCTGAGGTGCGGGTGGCAGACCACTCAGGGACAATGGATAATGGGGGATCTGGAGGCTAAGAGTCAAAGGTAGGGAGACGTGGATATACGGAGGAGGCAGAGGGTATGGAGGGGATGAAGGAAAGAACTGTGTGGTTTAAAGAGATCAGAAGCAGGCAGAGAAGCTGTAGCAGTATTCCCGTGCAAACAGCAGGGCTTGGAGCATGAGAGGTATTTTGTTTTTCCGTTTCCTTATACTAAGCATATATGGACCCTGGAGATCTGAGACCTCCCTGAAGGCAAACAAGATTAGGAAGGTCCCCAAATTCCCATGGGCAGTCCCCAGTGTCCAGCAAACAGGGTTACTGTGAGTCGGGGCAGACTTGGATAGCACCAACAACAGTTTCCTTCTGGCTGTCTTCTCTTGGTACCTCCACCTCCAGGCAGCTCTCCATCATAATTAATTCTTCATCTTTTCTTCCTCGAATCAGGGCTCTCTCCCTATTTCCTTTCCCAGTCTTCCTCACCAAACTCCTCTTCCTTCAGCTCCCCTGCCCCCACACCCTCAATCCTCCCGCGTCCAAACTGAGCTCGGTCTTGGTGAATGAACTGAATGATTCAAGAGTATGGTGTGCATGTAAGTCAGAGGCAGGGGGTCAAAGAGAAGTTCGTTTTAATTGTTGGGGAGATGGGGAGGAGTCTTTGAAAATGACCTGGCGAGCCCCGTCCCCAGGCCCCCGCTTCTCCCTATCCAGGGCGAATCTTCTCCAGTTTGGGTGGAAAGCCCCTAATACAATATATGGCTGAGGTCCCAATGGAAGGCAGGCACTGTGGCTCAGAGGACACTGACGCGCTCAGCCAGCCCCTGCATCTCAAAGTCCTGTGACGGGAGGACCCCACTAAGCTCCACATCGGTGGGCAGCGGGTGCTCAGTAATGAACTGCTCCCAGCGGGCGTCATCGCTCTCATGTGTGATGTACCGCTCGCCCATCTTCCCCTCCAGTTCTCGGAGGTCCAGCCACGTCTGGTATTCCTGCAGCCGGGACATCAGGGATTAACGAGAAGGCAGCAGGAGATACAATTCATGTTATGTGTCTGCTAAATTACAGACAGAACCCAAGAAATAAACCACATTCCATGAGAGAACTAGCTCCACCCTTCTACAGCCCGGCCAATGGGACACTAGGACTGCTCAGCCAATGAGATCTAACTACACCCCTTTCTGAACCAAGCCAATGGGCAGTCCCGCCTCGTTGCATCACCTGTAACCAGGGGTGGCTGAGAGACTTGTCCACACTGTAACGCTTGCGCATCTTCACCTGTAGCAGGTTGTTGATGAGGTCAATAGCTGCAGCAGAAAGGAGATTTACAGGTCAACTCCTGCAGGGTGAAGGACTGTCCCTTCTCCAACACCTGCGGGGCTCAAGGTCTTCTGATCTGGCTCAGAAATCTCATCCACACCCTTCAATTACCCCACTCACTCTCTAATCCAATCACATACACCTTTACACACACACACGCACCTCTTCACTAACTCTCTGCCTCAGTTATTCTGTGCCTATGTTATTGTTACGAGCTGAACTGTGCCCCTCAGGATGTGTTGTAAATCCTGTTGTGGTGCTGTAGAATAAGCCCTGGATTTCTAACAGCAAGGTTGGAAGTTCAAACCCACCTGCTGCGCCTTGGAAACCCTATACAGGGTTGCCAGGAGTTGGAACCGACTCATCAACAGTTAACAACAATGACAAGTCTGTGGTGGGGTCCTGGTGTGGTACTGTAAGATAAGCACGGGACTACTAACCATAGAGTTGGCGGTTCAAACCCACCAGCCACTCCTTGGCAACTCTATACAGGGTTGCTATGAGTCATAGTCTAAGAGCATACCACCTGAATGCTCTTGATCTTCTCTGATCTTGGAAGCTATCCTGGTTAATACTTGGATGGGAGATTTCCTGGGGATACCAGGTGTTGTAGCTGGAGTCCTGGTGTGGAGTTGCAGGATAGTGAGCTGGACTGCAACGTCAGTTTGAACCGCAAAGTCAGCAGTTCAAACCCACCAGCTGCTCCTCAGAAACCCTATACAGGGTTGCTCACTATGGGTTAGAGCCGACTCAACACTGGACTCAATGCTCAACAACAAAGCACTTTAATAACAACAACAGAGTCATAAGCAACTTGATGGCACTTAACCACAACATGCCTGTGGCTAGGCTCTTGCTTGGGAATGATTGACATGTGAATGAGGCAGGACTAGTGAGCTATAAGCAATCAGAGAGACAGGAAAGAGAGATGCCAAGCCACATGAAGAATGCCCAAGAGCAGAAGCTCAGGACGACAAGGATCTTCCTCCAGAGCCAATGTATGTATATATATACACACACACACACGTTGCTGTTAAGTGCTGTTGAGTCGATTCCGACCCATCGTGACCCTGTATAGTGTTTCCAAGCAGCTGCTGGTGAGCTTGAACCACCGACCTTGCAGTTCAAATGACTTTGTAGTCTGATGCATTAGCCCACAACGCCTCACCAGGACTCCAAAAATATATATATATATATATTGATGGTGGTTATGTGCCGTGGAGTCAGTTCCAATTCATAGTGACCCTGCACAGGGTTTCCAAGGCTGCAAATCTTCATGGGAGCAGAAAGCCTCATCTTTCTCCCGTGGAACAGCTGGTAGTTTCGA